AAGGGGAGTGTAAGTGACAGGGGTGTAAAAATTCCCTTTGGACTGCTATGAGGAGAAGGTCCACGTATGTGACGTTTGACTGTATCTGAGTATGTGTACAAGTGTGCGTACGTGTCAGAGTGTGCATTTAGGTATGTTTGTGTGTGTGTGTGTGTGTGTGTGTGTGTGTGTGTGTGTGTGTGTGTGAATGTATGAGAGTGGAGGGCATGTCTGAATGTGTGAATGTATGGAGAGATCTGTGAATGTGCTTAAATGTCTGGATATGGGTGAATTTGAGGGTGTGACTGTGGTAATATGTGTCTATATTTGAGTGAGTAGGTTTGGGGGTGTTTGAATATATGGATGTATGCTAATGTAGGGATACATCTATGTGTCTGAATGTTTGAGTGTGTTAAATCTGACAGTATTACTGCATTTGTGTGTGTGTAAGTGTATGTTTGAAGGTGTTTGAGTGTGTAGATTTGTGTCTAAGTATATGTTTGAGTGTGACTGTGTTTGAATGTATGAATGAATATGTGTGTTTGTGTGTGTAGCTGTCAGAGCCGGTGCAGAGGATATTCGGGGTTAGTGGAGTAGAGGGGCTGGGTGTGGAGAGGTGGGAGTGGGCCTCATGGAATTCCACACCTCCCACGCACTGTGCAGGAGGGGCCCTTCGAACACAAATATGGGAAAGGCATAAACAGCAGGAAGGGCAGTTGTGCCTGGCACAGGAGTGTCAGGCAGGAGTAATGGGGTAATTAAGGAAAAGGAAATGCAAGCTGCATTGTCCAGTAAGCTTCCTGAGAATCTCAGCCCACTGGTGGGCGTCTGCCGTACCCCCATCCCAAGCCAAGTAAAAAGAATGGGGGACCTGGAGGCCACTGCCAACTCAGCCCCATCCCTAGACCTGACTGGGGAGGGGCAGTGGCCTTCACCTGCTCTATGCTGTGCTGAGGTTCTCCTGATTGGCCTGGAGAAGCAAGCAAGCAACTTCCAGGAGAGTCAAATGGAGCCAAGATACCACCATCCAGCCACAACCTGTGCTGGCCGTCAGGGCTCTTTCCCTTGAAGGGAAAGACCTGGGCTAGCTCCCAAGATGGAACCCAGGAATCCAGTGGCCCATGTCTGAACATCTGAGCCTCCCTCCACAGTGGTCTTAAAGCACAATGCTGAACCCATCCTGTCCCATTTGATACATAAAGGACAATGATATAATGCAGCGAATGGTTAGGCTAGGCTAGTAGGTCTGTGCCTCATGCTCCCTGCCTCCACCCTGGTCACACCCACCCAAGAGATCTCAGGCTTTAACAGTGTTTAACATTCCCTTGACTTCTCTTTTTAGCTGCATGAGATAAAATAATTTTTAGGGATAAAGGCATTGCATCTATTTATCTGTGTGTTGTTTATTGGTTTTTTGAGATCAGGCATTTTTCAGGGTAGTATGACTGTAGACAAGGGCAGCTATTTATTTGTTTTTCAAGACAGGGTCTCACTATGTAGCCCTGGCTGTCCTGGAACTTGCTTTGCAGACCAGGATGACCTCAAACTCAAGAGATCCCCCTGCCTCTTCTTCCAGAGTGCTGGGGTTAAAGATGTGTGTCACCACACCCCACTGAAGGCATCACACATAAATGACAACTTTAGACTAAGAACTTGATGCACAGCCAGGCAGTGGTGGCACATGTCTTTAATCCCAGCATTCAGAAGGCAGAGGCAGGCAGAGCTCTGTGAGTTCAAGGCCAGCCTGGTCTCCAAAGTGAGTTTCGGAACAGCCAGGGCTGTTACACAGAGAAACCCTGTCTCTAAAATTAAAAAAAAAAAAAAAAGAAGAAGAAGAAGAACTTGCTGCAGAACTGAGAGTGAAATGTCCCAGAGCCCCTTGGAGCTCAGTTAGTCAGGGTTTCAGAAACACACAAGTGCATTTTTTTTTCATGGCAGCTCCTAGGCTGTTGGCTGTGTCAAGATGAAGCTGAGTATCTCCCTCCAAGCCATCAGCTCTCAGAAACTCATTGAAGTGGGCAATGTCCATAAGCTTCATATTTTCCATGAGAAGTAAATGGCCACAGAAGTAGCTGCTGATACTCTGCGTAAAGAATGGAAGGGTTATGTGGTTCAATCAGTGGTGAGAATCACAAGGTCTTCACATGAAGCAAGGTGTCTTGAGCCTGGCAGAATATATCTGCTGTTCAGTGAGGGGCATTCTTGCTATAGACCAAGGAGAACTGGGCAGAAGAAGCAAAGTCTTTTTGAAGATGCATTGTGGATGCCAATCTGAGTGTTATCAACTTGATTATTGTAGAAAAAGAAAAGGAAAAAAAAGAGAACATTATATTCCTGAACTGACAAGTATTACAGGTATCTCTTTGGTTGGGGCCCAAAAGAGCTAGCAGAACCTGAAAGCTTTTCAATCTCTCTAAGTAGATGATGTTCACCAATAAGATTTCAGAAAACCCTTAAAGGAGGTAGGAAGCTCAGAACCAAAGCACCCAAGATTCAGTGTCTTGTTACTCCATGTGTCCTGCAACACAAACATCAACCTATTGTTCTGAGGAAACAATGCACTGAGAAAAATAAAGAGGAGGCTGCAGAATATGCTAAACTTTGGACCAAGAGAATGAAGGTAGCCAAAGAAAACCACCAGAAACAGACTGCCAAGCGACATAGACTGTCCTCGCTGGGAACTTCAAGTCTGAGTCAGGTCAAAAATAAGCCTTTAAGAGCAACAAATAGCCTGGTGGTGGCAGCGGCACGTGTCTTTAATCCCAGCACTTGGGAGACAGAGACAGGCAGATCTCTGTGAGTTCAAGGCCAGCCTGGTCTACAGATCAAGTTCCAGGACAACCAGGACTGTTTCACAGAGAAACCCTGTCTCAAAAAACAAACAAAATGAGAGTACCAAATAAATAATCAGACCTTGAAAACAAACAACACTCAACAGGTACTGTGTGTGCAAATGAAGGCCCAACATGGAAGGATGGCTTAAGCTCCACAAGTCTGTCCATACAATGGAGCATCCTTGACCTTAACACGAATAGAGAGGTACAGGCCTGCTATCTCAACACTCACAGCACCAGGAAGGCTAAAGCAGAAGGAGCCTGGAAGGTGGGGGGGGGGGGAGTATGTTACAACATGGGTGTGCCTTGGGGAGATTTTGATGGTCATAAAGCAACAAAGGCTCTTCCATAGGAAAGTCCATACCTGACCATGAAGTGTTCTGTCCTCTGCCAGTTTGAAGTCCACTAACTGTTTGTGAGGGTCAGTCCTGATTGTCCACTTGATTGGCTTGAGGAGCTCCTAAGAGACGATCAGGAAAGCATATCTTTGGGTGTGTCTGGAGAAGAGAAGATCCACCCTGAGTGTGGGTGGCACCAACCCATAGGCTGGGGGTCCAGACAATAAAACAGGGAAAGAAGGAAAGCCAGCCAACACCATGTACACCAGGTTAGCCTAGAACTCAGAGACCCACCTGCTTCTGCATCCCTAGTGCTGGGATTAAAGGCATCAAAGTCTGGCTCCTCCCTGCCAGCCTTTGGTACTCTTAATAACTAATATTCCCCATGAGATTGGCACTTAGAGAGACCTTAATCGAGGGACATAAAAAGACATTAGAATTCAAATGTTGACCAGATCTCCCTCCTTTTCTTTTCCTCTAGATGAAGTAAACAGTCAATAGATGCATTTATATCTGTCCACTATTATTTGTAATAATCTTAAATCATCAGCCTACTTACTGTTTAAAGGCATCCTGGGTATTTTAAAAGTGAATGGCTCCTATTTAGAAAGCAAACGGTACCTTCCCAGTCTATTGAGAAAACTCTGTGTGTGTGTGTGTGTGTGTGTGTGTGTGTGTGTGTGTGTGTGTGTGTGTGTTTGTGTGTGTGTGTAAAACTATTACTTTAAAGATTTAGGTCTGCAAGAATAGTTTTCCTGTATTTATCTGTGTTTAGAAACTTCACCTGAAAATCCAATCAATGGCATTTGGTAGGTTTCACTTTGATCCAACAAATTTGTTATGAGTAATAGTTCATTAGACCTAAGAGGATCTTAACTTCTCTTAATTTTGTTCTTGAGTCTTTAACACTTTGCTAAATTAAGAGTTCTTTCCAGAAATCTGTGTTCTTTCCCTAGGACTGCCCAAATGTCATATCACAAACTGCTTCAGACAACGTGTTTAGTGTCTCTGAGCTCTAGAGACTAGAAGTCCCAAGTCAAGGTCCTAGCAGGGCCATCCTCTCCTGGAAACACACAATTGGAATCTTTTCTTGGTTCCTCTGACCTTCTAAACACTGCCTACAAAGGGTGCCTTGTGGATACCTGGCTCCCAGTCCCAGTCCTCATGTGGCATTGTGCCCTCTGCCTTTTTCTGATCCTTGTCCCTGTGCTATATTTGTTATGTGGATGAACTGCAGTTGAGAGAGAGGTTTTTTTCTATTTAATTTTATTTTATATGTGTGCTGCCTGCAAGTATGTATTTACACTACTGGAACCGGAGTTACAGACAGTTGGGAGCTGCCATGTGGGTGCTGGGAATTGAACCTAGATCCTCTGCAGGCACAACTCACTCTTAACTGCTCATCTGTCTCTCCAGGCAGAGGGAGTTGGGTTTTTAAAGTACAAAACCTCAGTGCACTAGGGATTGCTCCTCAGCCGCTATCCATCACCCTGTAGGAGCCACTGTTCCAGTCAACTACTCACTCCCTTCCCCAGACACGACTCAGCATCCCTCTCATACTCTCAAAGCTGAGACTTCTTGACTTTGGCCACTTAGAGCCTCTCTGATTAATGTCAACTTGACAGGATCCAGAAACACCTAGGAAACCATCCTCTGGGCATATCTGTGAGGAGCTTCTAAATGAAGTAAAGACCTGGGAAGACCCACCCGGAATGTGGGTGGCCCTCTTCCATGAGCTGGGAGCCTGGTTTAAATAGAAAGAATACTGCAGGCTGTGTATCAACATTTATCCCTCTGTGCTTCCCAACTGCAGACATGATGGGACCAGCTGCCTCACACTCCCGACGCCATGACTCCCCTGCCACGATGGACTATCACTCAAATCATGAACCGAAGTAAACCCTTCCTTTACGTTGATGTCCTAGTTTAACTGTCAACTTGACACAGTCTGGAGTTATCTGAGAAGAGAAGTCTCAGTTGAGGGACTGCCCAGATCAGATGGGCCTTTGGGCATGTCTTAGGGGAGGGGAATTATTTTGTTAATTGATACCTGAGGGCCCAGCCCACTATGAGCCATACCACCCCCTGGGCAGGTGATCCTGAGCTGAAGAAAGATGAGCTTGAGTGAGCCAAGCAAGCAGTGTTCCGCCACGGTTTCTGCTTCCGGTTCATGCATGAGTTCCTACCCCAACTTCTCTCAATGACGGGCTACGGCCTATAAGTGGGAGTAAGCTGCTTCCTCCCCGTGAGTTGCCTCTAGTCAGGGTGTTTTCTCACAGCAACATAATGAAACAGAAACAGTAGCTTTTGTTAAGCATTGCATCACAGCCACGAGACAAGGAACTAAGAGCAATGAGATGCAGTCTCCAATGACCTCTGTCAGCTGCAGTCACAGTTCTCAGAACCCCATACCTATGGGAGCTTCCGGTGTCTGCAGATGCCTGGAAAGCAGAAGCCAAAGGAATGCCAGCTAGAGACATCAAAGTCAGCCATGGCCAAAACGCATGGTACTAACTTCTCTGCAGTCTAGCTCCGTTATTTTCAAACCTCTGTTCCCTTCCTAGGCAAGATGATAAACATATTTTAAAACTGGTTTCTTCAATACCTCGTACATAGGTGTTCTGGCACAAGATGTATTGATCTGAGTCTTAAAGGGTCTTGTATTGGGGGAGAGGAGGTGGGTCTCACTTTTGAGACCAGAGACTACTGCCAGATGTGTGTGGGATTGGGCCAGATGTTCTACACCACCTAGATCGCAACCTGCCTGAAGAACACCTGCCTCTCCAGGGTCAGCTTCCATATTGTACAGTGAGAAAGTTTGATGGTGTGGCTCACTACCATCCATCAATGGAGGCACAAACCATGTAGCCTCATGCATCTGTCTGCTTTGTGTGAATGCCAGGCTTTCATTGGAGGAGTTCCGCTCTCCCCCATATACAGGGTACAGTCCATATCATCCCACCCCACTCTCCCCACCACACCCCATCCCATCCCACCCCACCCCGTGTGCCTGCTTATCACATACATACAGTCCATAACATTTAGTACGTGGGAAGACTCACAGAGGCCCCTGCCCATGAAAAGGTAACAGACATCAGAAGCCATAGGGAGTTCACTCAAGTTGACTGACTTACTGTGCACACACACAGTGCTGCCTATCACTGGCTCACTGTTAAGAATACACAGAGAGGGGCTGGAGGGGTGGCTAAGTGGTCTAGAACATCGACTGCTCTTGCAGGGTATCTATCTGGGCTTGTCTCCTAACACCAACGTAGTGGCCCACAACCACCTGTAACTCCAGTTCCAAGGGATATAACACTCTCTTGTGATCTCTGTGGTCACCTGGGACACATGTGTTGCACATACATACATATAGACAAAGCACACATACACACACACCAAGATGTAAAATTTTAAAGCAAAAAAATAATGTGACATATATTCACAAATATTCTAAAAGTCAGTCCTTACAACTTCAGCAATCTCTTTGTAACCTTGATGTCACCAATATGTCAACGTATGTTCCCTCTCATATACTGAGATGATTATATATATACTGAGATTATATATATATATGTGTATATGTATGTATGTATGTATGTATGTATATACTGAGATTTTCCCACCCAACTCTTAAGGTTTTTTTTTTTTTTCAGTCTCATTTTGTACAAATACACAATGGTTGGAGAAGAGCAACTTTCTTGAGGTCACTGCTTTTGTTTTTGCTCGAGTTTTGTATTGTGTTTTTTGCATATGTGTTTGGTGTTCTTGCATGTGTGTATGAATGTTCAAATGTGTGTAAGGGAGTGCGTGTATGTGCATGTGTGTGGAGGTGAAGGTTGATCCTGGGCATCTTTATCAATTGCTCTCTACCTTGTAGACTGAGGCAGGATCTTTCACTGAATCCAGAACTCACCATTTCCACACTCTGGCAAGCCTGCTTGCTGTGGGAATTGCCTGTCTCTGCCTCCCATTGCTGGTATTTCAGGCGGGGTACCACACCCTCCCAGATTTCATGTAAGTTCTGGGGGTCTGGATTTTGCCTTTATGTTTTCACGACAAGCATGTTACTTTCCGAGTCGTCTCCCCAGACCTCCACTGCTTTTTTAAAGAAAGGACCTCTTGTAGCGCAGTCTGGCTTTGGAATTCACCAAGAGTTGTGATTACAGATATGCACCATGCCTGCCTTAAGATCTCAGTTTGTACACAGTGTTTAGAACTAGGTGCTTGGACTAGGGCATGCTGCTTGTGCAAAGGCAAATTTCTGTTGTTCTCTGAACAATAGGACTGAAACCATCAGCAGTGAGGAGCCACATGAGCAAGGATTCCAACCCACACTGCACAGCCAGGGCTGGGGAGAATTCTAGTTGTACGATGTCGATTTTCATATTTTGAGGATAAACTCCTCAGGGACACAGACTAGGAAACACATCTGACAGTCATGAGGTGTACAGGGTCCCAGGGTGGGATTCCTCTACTCACTGGGGTTTTTCCATGTGGAAGAAAACTGTCACCTAAACATGGATTTGGGGCTGGTCGGAGGCCAGTGAGAACTGTTCTCACAGCAGCGTCGTAGACATCACAGATGGAAAATGTGCCTCAGTCATCCCATCCAGTCCCGGGAAGGGCATTCTCTAACGATTCCACACACGGCCACAGAGTCAGTGCATCCACCCTGTCCCGGGGGAGGTCTTGGAGTCAAACAGCTCCCCAAGTTGTAAATTTCCTTTCACTCTTTTCTTGTTATATTTCAAGAGGGTTATTTTTAATGAAAATAAAAAAGAAAGAAACAAGAAAATAGTTCCTGCTTTTGGCCTTGTTGTAGAGCGCTACAGCCACCGTCATCTGAGCAGACGGGACCGCTTGCCAAGAGAACCCCCACCCCCAAGATGGGGCCTGTGGACTGTTGACATTCTATGTATCAGAAGGAGGGGTGGGGAGCACCCACCCCTCCCACACTCCAGACTTTGTATGCGGTGCCGTCCTAACTGCCTGTAGCCTTTCCATGGCATTAGAGTTAATAAAGTGTAGATGTTTAACGGAAGCCGGTAGAGCCCATCTATCCAACTATGGGAAGTCCCCATGCACGCTGGGGGGAGTCTGTCCAGTGCCGTGTGGCCGCTGTCACTCGTGCTAGTGACGCCTCACCCAGCTCTGTAAGCAAGGCCAGTAAACTCATTGGCTCCCCAAGTTGGACTTCGTGAAAACAGCACTTTGGTTTATCATGGGCGGCCTCTAAGGAGGGGCTGCACACTTCTTTATGTCTCGCCAGGGAAAGAGTCCCTGAACTGAGCCTAAAGGTAAGTTTCCTATATAGGAAAACGCTCCCAGTTAAGATCAACATCCAGTTCCTGGGACTTCTCTGAATGAGTTACACTGTCTTCAGACACTAATACGAGAGTGAACACATATTTTAGAAATCCCTAGAATCACCCTCTGTTTCGTTGAGGTGATGGATGGGACTTCCCGTTTGCAGGGGACTTTCATCTCCTTCTGGCAACATGCCATAACAGACTTCTTCCCCTCAGGCCTTCTTAAAACCTTGCTTCATGTGATCTTTATCATGCCATGGAGCCAAAAGGATGATCACCAGGGGAATAAATTTCTGTGAGGTGTGTCCTCCATGTCTGCGGCTTCTGTACCCCACACACCACAGGACTCAATGCTGGGCTCGGCAACGCCCCCTCTATTGCAGTTCTTGGAAACTGTCCACCTAGCTAGTCTCTTCTGATTCTTATGATTCTTCTGTCTGGTTCCCAATCAGATAACATAGATACCTCTTTTTACACAAAATAATTGTGTAAAAATCCCTCACCATACATCCTCAGAAGTAGAATACTCTTGGGTTCTCCAAAAGGTAGCCTTTGTATATGTATTAAAAGAACTAGACTGAAGTTACTGATGAGTGAGTTTGTGGATGAATATGATTCTGGTAGTAGGACCCTTTCCCATCCCTAAGGGACCTTATCCCCACAGTCAGCCACCACCTCTGTCCCAACACTTGAAAAAACAAGGCTGTGGCTCTCAGCTGTTGGCTCAGTCTCAGCAGATGGACCGAGGAGACTTAAGGATCAGGTTACCAGGGGCAAGCCCGTTGGCACCATCCCTCCCTAGCTACCAGGGATGTGTGCACTGACCTGGGGAGTTTCTCCTATCAGGAGCAAAGCTCGTGAAAAGTTAAGGACTGGGTGGTGCGTGTGTGCATGCAGGATGATCCAAATCCTCCTGAGAAAACAGAGCAAATACTACTCATAGCTTTTTTTAAAAGGATGAGCCAAACTTGGTATGGTGTCACATGCCTCCAGTCTCAGCACTTTTGAAGCACAGAAACTGGTTTACATAACAAAATCCTAACCAAACAAACAACTAAAAGAGACTAGAAAAGAAAGAACTGGCTGGTAGGAGAAGCAACGCTCTCCCCACAGAGGTGGCTACCAGAGGGGAGGGCTCACTGGTGTGAATATGGTGGCGAGGCTCGCAGGGTCCGCTGTTCTCTCTACTTTGTATTATTTTCATCGTTGTGTTCAAGCTATTGTTTCGGGACTTGGACCCAGAGCTATTCAAAAACTTAACTGGCGGCTTTTCTTCTTCTGGCCACTAGGTGGTGCCAAATCCCCAGTTGGCGTCCCACTTAAACTGGGAAACTAGAAAACGAAGCCCAAATGTAGAGCAGAATTACAAAATGAACAGGGTGGAGGAGGCAAATGTCCTGAACCCCAAAGCTAATCTTGGAGTAATCCCAGAAAGAATCCCCAGTGGAAGTTCTGGCAGCCAGGGCAGCCCCTCGTTCATGGAGCTGCCTGGTGCTACCCACCACTCTGACCCTTCTCTCCAGCTAGCCGATTTGCCTTTCTCTTTCTTTCTCTTTGTGCGATTGGCTGCTCTCCCCCCTCAGGAAGTGAGAGCTGTTTACTGCTTCTGCATCCACAAAGAGGCCTTTCCCCAGAGATGGCCAAAAGTGGCTCACTCACCCTGTTTACCAGGGCTGGCTGTAAATCCTTCAGTACCAGCTTGTCCTCTGGGTAGGGGCGAGTCACTTCATTCACCATCCCAGGGAAACCGGCTTTCTGTGCATGTTCCTGTCAATTCTGACTGGGGGGGGGGGGCAACAGTCTGGGCAGCAGGGCAGGCTTGGGCTCTGAGGGAATCTGTCACAGAACAGGCTTGTAACTGGCATCATCAGGCTGCTGCCATCCCAGGACAAACAGAAAGCCCACGCATAAGGGAAAGGAACAGCAAGGCCTGATTCCCTGGGAGCTATTATGGTCTGCTTGTGAGATAGTAAGCGCGTGCTTCCCACCTGCCTGAAAGCACAGGGCTGAGAGATCTGATTGTCAGCGTTGGCTTGCCTTCCTCTGAGGTGAAAGACAACACATACCTAAGTGTAAACAAAGACAGGGGTGGGCAGGTGGGGGCCTTCCTCACCCAACACAAAAGGCCTGACCAACATTCCTGCAACGGGCAGATTACAGATGGCAAGATAAAAGTATAATAAATTTACTTAATGACAGATTTATGGACGCCGGAGCCATAGAGAACGAAGCCCCAAAGACCGTAGGGAAGTACCCCGGGTTTATGTTACATTTTGATGAGGGATGGACAGCCACATTGGAATGTGACTAAGTCGGGGTCAGATGGAGGGAACTCACAAGACCCACACAACCTCCTCTCCTTCCCCCACACCTAGGAGATGGGACACTTGCTGGTTCTAGGCTCCTTTGGGGGAAAGGAAAGCTGGTTTCTAGAACTCTTGGGGAGAGGGGAAGGTCAGGTGACAGGAGACACATCAGAAAGGCATGACCTCATGTTTTGAGAGTCTTTCCTGGGTCACCCTGGCCATCCTGCTAACTCAGCTTATGCCCAGGGAAATCCCACCATGTGGACTTTCCACCCAGGGAAATCTCACCAGGTGCAGAGTGCAGAGTTGAAAGGCCCCTTCCTCCAGGAGCCCCTTTTGTAAGGTGAGTGACATCACCTGCATTCTAGTCAGCTCAGCTATTGTCACAAGGTGCCGGATGGGCAATTCCACTACAGACAGCTATACCTTACAGCTCTGGAAGCTGGAATCCAGGACCAAGGGGAGGTAACTCCATAGATGCCAGCCTGCAGGGCGCAGTGCTATGCAGCCCCCTTACTCCTTGTCTGGTTAACTGGTAACTATGGTTTGTGTCAAGTTGGCATAAAATAAGCCAGCACAACTGACCCCTTGACAACTTGACACACAAACATATCACTGTTAAGCCATAACCTTTCCTTCCTTGTTCATCCCCAAGACTACACATCAATACAAGTATCACAATATAAAACATTTAATAAACTTTAAAAGTACCAGTCTTAATTCAAAAGCTTTAAAATTCAGTCTACTTAAAAATCCAAAGTCGGGGGCGACCCCTCGCTGCTGGAGAAGCGGCTCTCGGAAGACTCGCCCCGCTACTGGCTGCTTCAGAAGTGGGCGAGCATGTCGAGCGCGGACGCGGCGGAGGCGGAGGCGGAGCCCGAGCCGGGCGAGGAGAAGGCGGCGGAGGCGGCGGCGGCCGCCGGGGAGAACCCGCTCCTGTTCCTGTGCTCGCGCTGTCGCCGGCCGCTGGGCGACTCGCTCACCTGGGTGACCAGCCAGGAGGACAGCAACTGCATCCTCTTGCGCTGTGTTTCCTCCAATGTGTCTGTGGATAAGGAACAGGAACTGTCCAAGTGTAAAGGCGAAGACGGCTGCATTCTTGGGACGCTGTATTGTACAGGCTGCTTCCTGCGCCTTGGCTATGTGTCCAGATGCACTCCCAAGAGCCTGGACTACAAGAGGGACTTGTTCTGCCTCAGCGTCGAAGCCATTGAAAGTTACACTTGAGGGTCCTCCGAAAAGCAAATCGTGTCGGAAGACAGGGAGCTTCTCAATCTGGAAAGCAGAGTTGAAATAGAGAAGTCTGTAAAGCAGATGGAAGACGTCCTGAAGGCCTTGCTGATGAAGCTGTGGGTTATTGAGTTAAAACTGTCCTCCGCTGGCTGCTGCCGCTGAGCTGCCCTTCCCGACCCGACCCCCCTCCCCCTGTTCCTAATGGTGGTCAGACTCCTTCTGGGTACTTTAGGGGAGAAGTACCTGTTCTCCCTATGTGACTCTTAAAGCCAGTTTATGATACATACATGTTGGAACGAGATTTTGTGAGTTTTTATTTTATTAAAAAACGGGGTGATTTTTTTTCTGTCTTTTTTTTGTTAAATTCATTGTATGTGTGCATTTTTCTATTTTTTAAAAACTTTGTCACTTAATACTTTGGATATTAAAGAGTGAGTAGTAAGAAAAAAAAATTTAAAAAAAAAATCCAAAGTCTTTTTTAAAAGCCTAAAATCTCTCTTAAAATCCAGTCTCTCATCTCTGGGCTCCTGTAAAAACCAAAAGTAAATTAAATACTTTCTTACTTCAAGAGGAAAGAACCAGGGCACAGTCACAATCAGATCAAAGCAAAACCAAACTCCCAACTGTGTAAGCAATTCAATGTCTGATGCCTGGGATTCACTTACTGTCTTCCGGACTCCTCCAAAGGGCCTGGGTCATTCTCCAGCTCCGCTCTCCGCAGCACACACAGCTTGTCTTCCAAGCTCTGGGAGGCTCCATTCCACAATTGCTGCTCCTCTTGGTGATCATTCATGGCACTGGCACCTCCAAAATGCTGGGGTCTTCCGCTGCAACTGAACTGCATTTTCACCGATGGCCTCTCCTGGGTTCTCACAGTGCCAAGCCTCGGCTGTTGTCCATGACCCTTCATGGTTTCAAAACCAGTAGTACCACCTGGGTGGCTCTCACACAATGACGTTCAGCTGCCAGCATTAGGTACAACCTTGGCCACCTCTGGCACACAACTTTCATGTGCTGACTCTCAGGAAATACTTCCCAGAAGATTTTGCCTCAATGATGCTGGTCTCTTCTCCATCACTGCTAATTTCTCAGCTCCAGCTAAGCAGCATCAGTTGTCCCTGTAAAGCAAAAGTTGCACTTGGAGGGTGCCGGGCTCTTGTTAATCACAGCTGACTCTTCAGGCCCAGATGACCAGACTCCACAGATTCCTCCCACAAATGGCTCAGTAGTGTCTTTGCTTCCCCTCTGAAACTTCTCAGGCCAGGCCTTCATCTTCTGTACTGCTGTCACCATTCTTATCGTCTAAGGTCCTACAGAAGAACAGCTCACTCAGCTCTTAACACTCAATGGCTTTTCTAGCTCGGAAGTTCCAAAGTCCTTCCACGATGGTCCCCAAAACAACATGATTCAGGTCTGTTAGCAATACCCCACTATCCTGGTACCAACCTCTGTCTTAATTAGGGTTGCTCTTACTGTGATGACACACCATGACCACAAGCAGACAGGGAGGGGAAAGGGTTTATTTTCCTTACACTTACGTCCACATTACTGTTCATCATCGAGGACAGGAGGAATGCACATGGGGCAGGAACCTGGAGGCAGGACCCGCTGCAGAGGCCACGGAGGAGTGCTGCTTACTGGCTGTTCCTCATGGCTTGCTCAGCCTACTTTATTATAGCAGCCAGGACCACCAGCCCAGGGGTGACCCCACCCACCATGGGCTGGGCCCTCCTGAATCAGTCACTAATTAAGAAAATGCCCTACAGGCTTGTGTACAGGTGGATGTTATGGAGGCATTTTCTAATCGAGGCTCCCTCCTGTCTCATAACTTGACCAGTGGTTCTCAACCTGTGCTATGGGTCAAGACCCCTTTGGAGTCACATATCAGATATCCTATATATCAGATTATGATTCATTACAGTTATGAAGTAGCAACATAATAATCTTATGGTTGGGGGTCACCACAGCCTGAGGAACTGTATTAAAGGGTTACAGCAGTAGGGAGGTGGAGAACCACTGCTCCTAGACTCACTGACCCTGTTTAATTCCCAAACACACCTTCAAACATCACCGGATTGGGAGCTCGGACTTCAATACGGGAGTTCTAGGGTGGACAAGAGTTTGGTCTGTGAGACTCCATCATTAGATTGAGAAGCATTGATAATGACGGGGAGCTCTGCTGAGCTTGGGGGGGGGGGTGACAAGAAGCCGTGGTGGGGAATGAGCCTTGAGATGGGTTTTGAGAGATGGATAGGAGTGGGAAGTGCATTAAAAGAAAAGATTGTGTCAGAGGTTAAGCAGCATCAATCTTTCTTAATTATTCAGAATGAAACAGCAACAGTGTATCTAATGAATTAATAATTCAAAAAGAACTTAACTTGGCTCTTACTCCCAGGTTGCTCCAAGAACAGCTGCACTTCTCCTATAATAGATTTCAGATGTCTAGACAGATAGATGGGTACCTAGCTGCTTTTAGAACCTCAGTGACAAGAGGCATAAACAGACTTTGGCAATTTTCAGAGGGGAGAGGTCTGAAAGTGGCTAGGCTGTCTCCATCCCAGTCTGGCTGGCACAGGCTCCTCATGGACTTGGCCCACCAGTGATGGTAGCAGAGCTTGGGCTACAACCCCAGCATAAACAGAGCCTGGTGGACAGAGAGCAGAGGAGCCTTGTCAGCCCCACAGGGTCACAGCAGTCTTCAGAAGCAGTGGGTATAGAGTGTCTGCAGGGATGTCCACGTATTTTATGGACAGCTTCCTTCCCCCGAGTGGACATCTTGATCTCTGGGCTAGCTTGCCCCAATTGCTGCAAGAAAGTGCCAAAGACTGGGAGACTCCAGCAGTCATTCGTAATAGACGATGGAAGCCTAAGCCCACGTTATCAGCAGGGCTGCTTTCTCCTGGGCCCCCTCAACTTAGGGGTAGTTGCCACCTTCTCCCTACGTCTTCATATGGGCTTCCCTCTGACTAGTCTGACTGGTTTATGGGCCCCCTGAGGACCTCATTTAATCTCTGGAAAGGCCATCTCCAGATGCAGTGTGTGCTAAGGGATTTGAGAGTTGGGGCTTCAACATATGGGGGTGGGGGTGCTGGTTATAGTTAACCATCTCACCAGGGCAGAGCCAAGCCTGAGCTGGCTTGTGGGGGCTGTCTGGCACATCTGTTCCCTCTACCAAAAGGTCTTCTCCCCTCTATTGGACAACCTCATGGCACATAAAAGAGGGCTAACTTTTTTTTTTTTTTTTGGTTTTTCGAGACAGGGTTTCTCTGTGTAGCTTTGCGCCTTTCCTGGAGTTCACTTGGTAGCCCAGGCTGGCCTCGAACTCACAGAGATCCGCCTGGCTCTGCCTCCCGAGTGCTGGGATTAAAGGCGTGCGCCACCACCGCCCGGCGAGGGCTAACTTTTTTGAGACAGGACATTGTGAGGATTAGGCTTGGAGGGCTAGGCTGGGCTAGAAGCTGGGTAGGTTCTGAACACCATACTGGAGGTCTTCAGGAGCTTCCACTGGACTCGGGGAAAGACTGGCCAGGGTCTGGGTGCCATATCCATCCTATGCTCCATGGAAGGGAACAGCTGCTGAAGACTCAACTCCTTCTTTGCATTCTGTGAGCAAGCTAGAGTAGGATGAGTGACTGGACATCTGCTCATTGTTAGCCACACATCAGTCCCAATGACACCTCTGTACATAAGGACAGAGCCAATACCCTTATGGTCCAGGAGCTTGTGGGAGGCCTTCCCAGACAAAATGAGAGGGAGGCTGAGAACTGCTAAAGGAGTGTATGTCACCACAGACTGTTCTGTTTAGGCCTTGAGTGTGTAGGGGTTGTTGAGAGGTTGTTGTCCAAATCACATCTTCCAAGGAAAGAAATCTTGTGAACAAAAAGAGTGATAAGAGATACATAGGGCCAGCATTGAAAAGAATAGGCTCTTTGTGGGAGTGGCCTTGCTATAACTGCTGTAGGGGTGGGTGGGTGGCATGCATATCCTCACCCTATCCTGTGTGATTGTCCAGGCCACCATATTGGCCCAGTGAGCACTGTGACTCACACACCCAGTTGGTAGAAATTAGCACAGAAGTCATTATCTTTATATCTGAGAGTCCTTGAAAGACCTAGTTTCCACATGAAGGACTTTGACCTCAAGAGTAGATGCATACTTCCACTGGAGATGCTCAGAGCTCACACTGACCCTCGCCTATTGCTTGAGGGAGGGCACGGGACACAATTGATCCCTAGTGTTTTGGTGACTTGAAGTGAATGTCAAACCCTCCCTCCCTCTTGCCATATCAGTGTCTCACTCCCCCTCCACCCCCACCAGGTTTACCTGGTGAAGGACAAGTATTCCCATTCCTTGAAGCTCTTAAAGGTTGATAGCCTTTGGCATCTACCGCCTGGTAGACTTCATTTCCTGGACTATAAAATAAAATAGTGATGCTATATTCATTACTTTTTCTCATTGTCATGGCCAAAATTCTAGCCAAAAACAAAGAAAAAGGATCTACTTTGGCTCAGGGTACAAGGGTAGAGTCCACCATGAAGGGGAAAGCTCACTTGGTGTTGGCAGTGGCTCATTTCAGGGTGGTGGCATTGGGAGTGAGGTATCTGGATATATTACAATAGTTAGAAAGCAGAGACCAGGGCAGACACGGGAAAGCCTATCCCCCTCAATGCCAGTCCCCTAGAAGCCCAATTCATCGAGGTAGGTCCACCTCCTAGACAGCTTCCATAACCTCCCTCCACAGCTCCATTATCTGGGGATTACGTGTTCAAATGTGAACCTGTTGCGGGGCATGTCATATTCAAACCATAAAGCCTTGCTTACTGGCCTGTGAGGTCAACAGGAGGACCATGTGCAACTGTGAGCAGGTGAGTAACATTCTAGTGCTTCCTTATAAGAGAATACAGGAACAAGTATTCCCAGTAACCACTGCTTAGAATCATAGCTACAGGTAACATTAGTTGATTCCATTGTTTTTCAGTCCTCAGATTACAAGAGTTCACAGATTCAACTCCAGTTGGGTTAGAGGAGCAGGGGAAAGTGGTATTTAACTAGTAATCATAATGCAGCATGGACATATATACAAACACATACACACATATGTGAATATATACACATGGCCTAGTCATATGAATGTATATGTACTGTTCTGGAGCTCACATTTGCAATCCCAGCTGCTTGGGGAGCTAACACAAGAAGTATTATGACTTTAAGGCCAATCTGGGCAACTAAGACTCTATTCAAAATAAAATGGGCTGGGAATAGAGCCCAGTGGTGGAGCACTTACCCAGCATGTACAAGGGCCTTGGGTCCAATCCCCATGGGGGGGGGTGTATTTCTTTTCTCATCACTGTGACAAAATGCTTA